TGATCCTTTATGCATTTATTCCTGTTTCTAATCTCCAGATAATAATCCAGCCATACTTTAGTAGTTTATTGCCCTTTAGTTTATCAGTGCTCATTTCTTTTCTCCTCTGCTTTCATTTTGACCCAGACAGACAACGTTGGATGACCTGCTGAGTCTCTTTGTAAAGGGTTCCTTTCTGAGACGTTTTTGTTGCCAGTTGCTGCTCACTGCACGAATCCTTCAATTACTCTCAACAACTGGAAACCCTTTAGGTCTACAAAGGTTTTCTGAGATTACTTGAAGATTTGAAGGTTTATTTGAATTATGCAGCTGAAGAGTAGATGTTACTGGGCTCATCTCAGAGCATTCTTCTGCGCCATGTGCAGAGCACGCAGACGGGGAGGCTTTTCCAGTCACTGACCAACACGTTCTGCAGAACTCTCCTCTTCTTGGATTTATTATGTTTTGTCTAAATGTCTCCTCCAGGATTATTCTATGTGATGGAGTCTGATTTCACTTATCATTTTTTTTTGAAAACTTACAATTTGGGGTAAAAAGCCAAATGTTTATGTTTATTGAAAATATTTTTGGTTTGGTTTGTAAGGAGTCTTCACGTTATTGTACAAAAATGAGCTTTTAATGAGAAAATGAGACATTATTGTCACGTCTTTTCAGGAATTCTGGAGCTATCCACTAAAATCAAACAGGAAATGCATGGATGAATGATGCACTTGCACAAAACAAAATGTCTGGTTGTATAGATTTGTGAAACCAAAAAAAAAAAAAAAAACAAAGCGCCATGGCAATAAAGGACAGCCTGGAGAACGATACATGTTCTCAATATGCTGAAATGGTAAATATTTATGATGTTGAGATTCCGCTTGTTTTTCTTTCTTCATGCAGATTTTTTTTTCCACTGCTTATTTTGAAATGAACACAATCAAAAGCTTACCATGTGTTTTACCAGTAACATTTGTCTTTTTGACATCACTAAGACGTGAAGCTGAGGAGAAGAGAAACAAAAAGGAAAATCTGCAACTCACACTTTTCTAAATTCTTTCAATCTGACTCAGTCTTCCTGTCAGAGTGTCAGAGTTCTGTTTGTATGAATGAACAGCTTTGAATAGAAAGTGTGTCTGCGCATGAGAGTTTTTCAGGGGAGACTTGAGAAAATCTAAGTGTAATGAAGGGCAAGGGGTTAGAATGTGTGTGTGTTTAGTCCACAGCCGTTCACGCTGCAGGACGCGTGGATCATGTGACGAGGATGATCACCCCCAACAACCACTCCAGTCAGCGACTGTCCTTTTGACCCAGATGTCTCCCACCTCCTCTCAACCATTTGCTTATTCTCCCTCACCCCTCTGCCTTTCACATTATTTCTCTTTTTACCTCATCAGTGGGATCTTTCTCCAGCCTCCAGCCACAAGCCCTGACAGGTCATGCTGTGAGCACAGCCTTGAATCGGGAATCAAAGAATGCCACTTGTCTGGTTTGAAAATGCACGTGTGATAAGTCACATATAGAGATACAATGGTGGGATCATTGTGTGCATGTGTCTGCAGGAGCAGTCAATACAAAAACAGGGACATAAGGAATTAAATTAAATCAAAACAAAGGAAAATAGGAGGATTCTGCAAGATCATCTGTAAATGTGAAATTGCATGTTTTAACATGAATTGTCGTGCTCGTACATCCAACTAAAACAGATGTCCTTTTTCCATCCATCCATTCATTATCTTTTACCCGCTTCTACCATTTTGGGTCACGAGAGTCGCCAGAGCCCATGACCAGCAATGACTGTGCAAGGGGCGGGGTACACCCTGGACGGGTCGCAAGTCCATCACAGGACCACATATAGAGACAAACAACCATTCATTCACTCACTCACACCTAGGGACAATTTAGTTACCAGTCAGCCTAACATGCGTGTTTTGGTCTGTGGGAGGAAACCCAAACATGCACGGAGAGAACATGCAAACTCGACCCAAAAAGGCCCCCGGACCTGGATTTGAACCAGGGACCTGCTCGCTGAGAGGCAGCAGCTCTACCAGTTGTGCCACCATGTTGCCCCAGATGTCCTTCTTTTATTATTATTTTGGAAAAATGTAAACTTTATACACAAACCATTGGTCATGTTCTGAAGAGCCTGCTCATTCAACAACTCTTTTCATGGACCTGCACCCACATCACCCTGCTACATCAACGACACTTCATGTCAAAGGTCAGTGACAACAACCAGAGCCTGCAACTTTTTCAACGTATACAGTTTAGGCTTAACTTATCAAACAAAGCATATTATTTGGATTTATTTGCTCTTTATTTTGGCCATCTCTAAAGCTGCACCCAACTCCAAATGAAGAGCTGCAAATAAAAGAGAACATCTGAATTTTATCATGAAACCCCCTTTTTTTCATCCTCCAGGTGTTATTGGGCAACTTCAAGATGGCGACTGTGGGTTTAATTATCTAGACTTTAAACAGAATTACAATAATTAACATTAGAAGATGCTCAGAAAATGTAAATACTTGCAGATGATGCAACAAAACATCTGAGCAAAGCACTGGTAAGAGATGAATGTGTCTAATTACTTACAGGGAACCTTTTTTTAGCTGAGGTTAAAAGGAAGCAGAACACATTTTCCAGTGTTTTCTTTTTTTAATTATTTTATTAAAATGCTGCTGCTCCATTGCGATTTATTCTGGCCTGAGCCAACTCTGAATTAAAAGAGTGGATTCCAATATATAATGAATGTTGAATTAAACATAGAGATGGAGAGGTGCGTCTTTTCAGCCCCATAAGGAATTTCTCACATAATGGCAAGTCACGTTGGAGCCAGAGGTGGGGAGGGGGGATCTTTTGCAAAAGGAAGAGCCGATAGCACCAGCCACAGGAAGGAAATTATCTTGCTCTTTAATTTTCGTGCACCTGCATCCTCATGGTGGTCAAGAGCCAAGCATAAGATCTGAAAGCTGCAAATATGCATTCATCAGGAGAGCTTTCATTCACGTGGAAGGAAAGGGAGGGTGTCTCCAAGAATCTGCACCTTAAAGTAAGAGCTCCTGCAAGCAGTTCACAGTGAACATTTGCTTTTCCTTGGTCTAAAAGCAACATAAATCATCAGTGGTTTCAAGCATTCTTAAGATTCTTAACATGCCACTTCTGCTTTTTGTGGTCTCATGATTAAATTTGATTGACCAGAGAACAAGTGAATGATCTCATCTTTGATTCTGCCCAAAGACAGATAATTGTTGAATGTTGGTGTTTGTTTGATATGGAATGACATGTTGAAATGGTATAGGAAGAGTATCGGAAACTGTTCCCACAAAACGTTTTCTTGTGTCAACATAAGCATCCATTTCCTTTTCTGATTATGTGTTCTATGTTGAGATAACTGTTTTATATTGAATTTACTGATGCAAGTTCGGCTGCAGAGACACATCAAGCAAAAAGTAAAACCAAATTTGAAGTGTTGTCAAATCCAAGCATTTCATTCAAACATCTACATTGTTGCTTAGTACAGAGAGTTACAGAAAGGATTAGAGAGAAACTATGAGCAGTATATCTGGTAGATTGTGTTTTGTTTGCCTCTTTTGAGCTTCAGGTGTTTGACCTGTGCACGAGGGCAAAGCCTGGCACCTCTTAGTCTAGCTGGCTTCAAAAACCCCTAAACAGACTTGAGGTTCCCTAAATGCCTCTTAATCATCAGAGAAAGAACTAAAGAAAAGGTAAGGTTTTAACCGTTTGGTTTATAAAAAATAAAAAAATAAAGGTGGAGGAAATAGAGTGGAGGTTCAATGTGTGTTATGTTAGGTGCAATGCATAAATCTTTAAACTTGAACAATTTATTGTTCTGGATTTTAAACTGTGTAAAACTTATTCAAATACTATCTTAATGCAATGGTTATGAGAAACACTGAATGCTTTTTTTAATGTTTTGGGAGGGTATCACTGTGATTAGTGTGACTGCACTGCCCTCTGCTGGTAAGAAAGTAGCATTAACTGTTCTTGTCAAAATGTTTCCCTCTGTTCCTGCATGTGCAGGTGATCATAAAGTTGTTAGATCTTTTGCTGCACTAGGATGTGAACCAGATCCTGTGTTCTCCTCAGGTTAATTGATTTGGAGTTAAAATAATCATTTTAACATAAGATTCAAAGAATGAAGTCACTTTATTTGAGCCTATATTTGTTTGGAATTAACTGTAATGAAATCTAAAAGCCAGCTTACTTATCATTGTCAGAAAACTATTTCTACATCCTCTAAATGAGAAGAATAAAGTTTATTTCCTGATGCATGCTCAATGTTGTCAATGTCAATAAAGTTTATTCATAAGAGATGAGGTTTAATAGTTTAGGAACCGATACAGTGGGTCATAATTCAAAAACCACAGGAGGCAGAGTTAAGGACACATGTAACTTTTATTTTTTTCTACATGTTGATCTCCTTTTTGTTATAAAATATTACGAAATTAATTTGCAGATTAAGGCAAATAAAAACAGCAAGATACCAAAAGCTGTTATTTTAATGTTTAAAAGATCTTTGGTTTTCTTTTACACAGGCCCGGCTAGCTCAGTCGGTAGAGCATGAGACTCTTAATCTCAGGGTCGTGGGTTCGAGCCCCACGTTGGGCGCTAACTTTTTTTTTAAGAAACTAGAGAAAAAAATTACTGTGAATTAAAAGTACATTTTTTGGGGGGTGTCCATGATTAAAACTTTTAACTCGATTATCGAATTATTGGTGTAATTTCACGTACCATTCGATTCAAATAAAAATGTCAGCTTAAAAAAAAAAGTTAAAATCAATTCATAACTGAAAGAAAGGACGATGATTCAAAACTATAGTTAAATGAAAGCGCATATGCGAACCACGTTGTCGCAAATAATGTCTACATTTAAAAATGTTACATTAAAATACAAGTTTCACGTTCGTATTTTAAAGCAAAGTGTTTTACGACACTCATCACAACAGTTTTTACGGCTTTACGACGCTCATCACAACAGTTTTTAACTGCTTTACGACTATTTACGAAGGCTCATTCAAGATGGAGTAGTTTACGCACCTCATATTTAAAATTAATCTATTTCAGCGGTTTTCGCAATATTTTTCCGTCTTCATTTGTAACCGTTTGTTCTTAAGTAGAAACTAGCAACACCATCAAAATGACAGAAGAGAATAAATCGGGCTCCTTAGGCTTTTTTTCGAGTTACGACGATTTGAGCGATAGTAGCAGCGACTCGGACGAGGAGGGAGACGGCGGAAAGAAGAAAGCCGGGACAGCAGCTCAGGAAAGCGGTGTCCAGTCGTCCCAACAGGCGGCCAAGCGGACCTCCGGTGGAGCTCCTTTACCCAAACCGGACGATCTGTTCAGATCTGTGTCCAAACCTGCGTTTCTGTATAACCCGCTGAACAAGGAGATAGACTGGGACAATCTGACGGTCAAACCACCCGAGGAGGTGAGATGTTTGGATATCTTAAGCACTAATTGAAAACTATAAATTATAAAATATTGCACTTTCAGGAGTTTACTTTGCGTAGTTTCCCAGATATAATGATTATTTAAAAAAGGCCTTTTCCTACTCTGCTCCTGGAACACCTTGCAACAAGAACTGAAGCTGCCCACCTTAATTTCTTTAAGGGGTTTCAAACATTTGATAATGTCAATGGAAAAATTAAGGCAAATATGTTCTTGTTTTTAGTATTTCACCCTGTTTTACGGCATCCGGATTTATTGCTTATTTTAACTGCATTTTTACCGTAGTTTATTGTTAAAATTCACGTTCAGAACTTGTATTTATTTATTTTTTAACCATTTGAATTGTTATTTGAATATTTGACCAATTTAACAATTTATTATTATTTTCATTGTTTTTTTTTTTTTTGTATTCATTACTGTAGTTTATTGTTAAAATCAGGTTCAGAACTTCAAACGCATTCTTTTGTTAATTCAAACAAGGTTTATTGTATTATCTTCTCTGAAGAACTTTGAGAAGGGAGATTTTAATTACATTAATTAGTGGCATACTCCTACTGTAAGAAGCCCACTGATTGGTTAAAAGTTGAGGGGCCGTCTGCCCGATGTCCGGTGAACCGAACACCCTAAGAGTTGTGAGACGGCAGCCAAGCTGAGCAGATGGAATGAGTGGTTGTGGAGAGTTGATGAGACTCTCTGAGAAACAACAGCCATATGATGGAAGACGTGTCCAGCTGAGACATGGTGGACATCCTGAAACTTCTCAAAACACCCAGGAGCTAAAGGTATACGCCGAACAGACCGCAGCCCTGAGAAACGGCATCCTTCTTGGGACAGCAGACCACTGGCTTTTTCCTTCATGCATTCGCTGTGGTAATGAGAGATGGACATCTTCCTTCTGATGAAAGAACCACGTAACGGTGCCAACTAAGTTTGTTTAGATAATTTAATTCACAAATCTGAGATAAACTTACCTACATTTTAACGTTAAGAGCTAGACCTTAGTCCAAATCGAATCAAAACCTACTTGTTTTCTTTGAGGGACAGGAATTAAGTTCGCTACAAGAACTCATGGTTTATATGTTTGAGGTGAGACCGGTCCAGAGTACGTAAGCGTAAATACCTGTTAAAGGGTAAGAGTTTGACCGGACCAGAAGTCCAATATCCTGTACATATATATTCCCTTACTATTGGATTGAATTGTTAAAATCAGGTCTCTCTTGTAACTGAGTCCTCGAGGTTCAGTGAGACTAACCTGTATAAATAAAGATTGAATGAATTAAAGAAAACATAATACTGAAATGCGGGTACGCACCAAGTGTAAACAATCCTATTTATTTGATCTGCATCCTTTACATAAACACACTGAACATAAATAAGTACAATTTTTATTTACTGTTTTTATTGTTTTGAGATGTTTTAAATGCAGAATACTGTCCTGCAAAAAACACTTCAATGAAACGAACACAGTCATCTATACTGTAATTTTAAGCCTTTTTCCCATTATTTAGAAAGATCCGTTGTGAACATTGGGTTCTACAAATCAGGATTTGTGATGCTGTTCATATCTTACAATGTACACATGAGATATCCATCTTTTGTTTACGTTTTTCACCTCTTTTTGTTTCTTCTTTTAGCCTGAAAGGGAGTTTAAGCCATGGAAAACCAACGCTGTGCCACCACCCGAGAGCTACACTGCAGAGCCTGAAAGGAAGAAGGGGCCTCCTCCTGGAATGGACATGGCGATAAAGTGGTCCAATGTGTACGAGGACAACGGTGCAGACGCACCGCAGCCTTACACTGGCAAAGCTCGCTTCTTACCCACAGAGGAGCAGCCTTCGGACTCTGGTGAGTTCTGCAGGACAGCCACAGTTCTCACTTATAATTTCACCTTATTGTCACATTTATTTATTTTCTCTCTCCTTTCACTACTCTGGCAACTAGATGAGGAATCCCAACAGTCTGCTTTGTCGGGCAAGAAACGGCGAGTAGAGACCTTTCAGCAGAAGGAAAAGAGGAAGAGGGACTTGGGACAAGCCACCTCTGACAAGAACTTTGTAGAGGAGGAGAAAAGGATCCTCAGGCAAAAAATAGAGTAAAGCACAAGCGGTTTCTGATTTCCAACATTACACAGCTGCAGACAACATTCACCATTGTCACCATGTACGGCAAGAAGATAGTGTTCTGCAAATATACAAGGTCGTTCCTTTTTATTCATACAGTGATGTGCTGTCGTTTGTGGAAAACATAGTGATTGATTTTAAACGTCGTTTAACCGAGCTTTATGTCACAAAGCAATAAGACTACGAGGAGAACGTTTTCCAGCTGAAACTGATACAGAAATGTAAAAAAATATATTTTCAAAGTCTACCAATAATTGCTCCAAAAGGATTGTCATTGTCATCTGCAGTGACAGATTAAACACAGACCAGTTTGTTGGGTTGGCTTCAGTAAATTATAAAAAAAAAAATAACTCTTGAGGCTTATTTGTTTTTCTCATCCGTTTTGTTTTATTGAATGCATTTTTATTTTGAATTATGAATCTGAATATGTGTTCGTTCAAACACGTGTAAATCATAAAAAAATATTATTTACTATTACTATTATTATTTATTATTACTATTATTAAAGCATTTTTTCTGCTTTTGAGCAGCAGGGGTCACACACGAGCAGCTTTAGACATGTCCCTTTTAGTGATGACGTCAAAATACAACCAGGACTCTTTAGGATTCTTTGGTTTCTAAAATGGAAAGTGTTGAACTTTGTCATTTTATCTTCATCCCTTCATTAGACTACTTGTTTATGAAGTACTTTGTGTTTTGTAATGGTCAGCATTGGTGCTGATAAAGACAAACATCCACCAGATGCTTTGTGTGTGATTTAAAACAATATATTCCATTTTTGTTGTTTTAAGGATATTTTTGGTTTTGAAACTGTATTCATTTAATGTAAAAGGATGTATGGAAACTTATAATTTAGTGCTTTTCTCAAGTATTCTGAGAATTGCAGAGGCCAAGCTCAGCAAGAACATTAAATCTATATTATTAAACTGACATACATTCTCGTGTACATTCTTTACATTTCTGTGGCCACTGAAGTAAATTTAATGGTTTTCCAAGCATTGGAGAAAAAAAAAGGTTTCTTTCTTGCAACAGTGTAGTGATCAGAGGAATTCCTGGCGTATCTGTCATCACAGGTTGACATGAAGTGCTGGTAAATATGCTTCTGATAAAATTTCAGCCTCGGGGTATGTGCCTGGCCTTGTCTGAAATGTGTTCCTGGTCCTGCGCGGTGATTTCTATCAGCCACATTTACAAACAAATTACTCTTCTCTGCAGACTGAACGGTGAGAGCGACGACCGGCAGGGTCAACGTGGGAATTCATCAAGTCCGTGTCGCTCTTGTGGCTGGAGTTTTCCCAGTTGGATGTTTTGCAGCCCCGTGTGTGTATCTGGTGTTGACTTGTTACTGTCTTTGATATGATATCTGCTGCATTCTTCCACTGTAGCCTCTTTGTGTACTGGAGGTCGTATTACAAGAGGAAAGCATTTTTCTCATCCCACTGGACGTTACACATGGCTGACCTTTTCTTCCTTTTATTAAGAGAATGTCTCAGTCTTGTGTTACACTTGGTACAGTCAAATTAAAAGCCCAGCTGTCCTTGAAAGAACTCAAATTGTCCAACATTTTTAGACGTTACAATAAATGCCCAGTAACAGTGTTGTTTCATAAATCTCTGAAACGTGACAGTTTCAGTCATCTGATCATGTTTTCTCATGACTTATGATCATTTAGAGACCCTTTCTGAGGCGGCTGCTGCTGTCTGACTCACTGTCACCCACTCAGTAAAATATTCAAGTCAAGTTTATTGTCATTTGCATCATGTGGTACATGAGGTGGAACGAAATTATGTACTCAGGGTCCCAGTTACACCCAAAAAATAGCAAAAATACTAAGTATAAAAAGAGGATGAGGATCTAAGATATACACTAAGATAAATGCTAAACAGTACGCTAAAAGAGCTAAGACATGCTAACAGCTAATAATGTAAAACAATACAGCGTATCAACAGCAGCCCGAACACGAGTCTGTGGTGAGTAGATGGGTATGAATGAATACAGCAGCATGAGATAATCAGCAGCATGAGAAAATCAGCAGCATGGATAAGTCACATATTACCAATTAAAGTGGCATTACAATGTTTTTTTTTTTTTTACACTGACAGATATTGATAGAGTTTATGAGTCTTAGCTTCAGAGTAGAAGCCGTCTACACTTAGCGCTCCACAACCTCCGTTGCAGCTTATATGGATGTTCTGGCAGCTGTCGGGTCCAACATCAGCTACGACAGCCTCTGCATTCTGAAATGACACAGCTAATTGTCCCTAATTATCTTGTTAATCTGCAACCAAAACGTAAGCAGATGTAGAAAAAGTTATTTAGACAAAAAAGAAGTATTTTCATTTGATAAATGTCAGTGTCGTAGTGAAATGCCTCCTTTGAGCACCTTAAGCAGCTGGAGCAAATCCAAACTGTTAAAATGTTAATTCCCCTGATACATCAGCACAAGCTCAAGTGGTGGAAAGTCTGACATTTCCATCTGTTCAGCCTAGAGTCACATGTTGATACGAAGGTATTCACACGGTCTGCAGGGTAGATCCATGTCAACACTTTTAAAAGTTTCTCTCAATTCTGCTTGTTTTCTTGAAGCGAACAGCTTCTACACCAGCGATCTGATCAGTTGTATGAACGATGTTCAGCAAGACATGAAAAAAAACTCTCTGGAGTTTGGAACAATTGGAATCATTTGATTTGAGATCAGGAAATATTTCTTGGAATCGTGCTGCAGCTCTCCAGGGTCGTTGAGGGCCCGTTTCTCTCTTGAGCTCGGGTTTGACTGAGTGAAACTTTCCTATCTGTGGTCAGACAGAAACATAATATTGCAAATTGCAGTAAGATTGTGGTGCAGACCACTGATTGCAGCTGGAGTTTTCCAGAGATTTGCTCCTCTTTGATGCTGGCGTGAAAGGATTCATTTTTCAATACCACCCAAGTTCATCTGTGATGTGTTCGTTTTAAAACGTGGACAACGTAAGAATAATATGGTAGCTGTAACAGCTGCGAGTTAGAAAAAAACAGGAAATAAAAGTTACATAAAGTTCTGTTACATTTAAACAAACAAGAATCAACAGTTTAGCTGTTATTTGCATGACGTCATGGAAACCTGCAGCTAAAACCACAAAATGCTGAACACTTTGCGAGATGTTACAAAGTGAGTTTTTCAGCAGAGTATATAAGATTAGAGGTTCCTCATGGAGAAAGTCTTATATGCTTTTCTTGTTTTTGATTTTGAATAACAAAATGTTTGGCCTTTCACAACAAACATGTCAGCAGTTGTCTCTTGATAATGATATTACGAGGACACCAAGACAGCAAATGTTCGATTCAGCCTTTGTTGCTCAGAAACAGAGACATAACTCTATAAACGCAAGTCACATTTCAACGTTCCGTACTGTGTGAATGTTTATGAAGCATTCACATTAATGTGAATTTGTGTGAATTTGTGTGAATTAGTGCAATTCTCATCCTGCAGTTTTCAAGCATTTCAACAAAATCATTAAAAAAAACATTCAGCTCTTTCAGGTATTGGTGCAACTTTAGCATTTTGAAATATTTAGCCTTTCCTGGCATTTTTTTCTCATAGAAAATGAATTGAGCTCATTTTACATCCTTCAGATCTTTATATCAGTTGACAACCTTTTACTGCTCCTTTCACATTTTGTTCTGCTTCAGCTCCTTTCAGCTTCCTTGTGCAAATTTAAACATATTTCCTGTTATTTTCAGCCAATATTAGCTGGGGGGTTTTTTTAGCTGTTTTGTGCTCCTTTTAGATTATTTTTGCCAACTACAATATTTCTGCTAACTTCCTTCTGCTAATTTCTTGTTATGCTCCTTTCAGCTTATTTCTGCAAGTTTAACCTTTTTCCTATTTCAGCTACAGCTGTTTTTATGCTAATTTAAATGTTTTCAGCTAATTCCACTTTTTTTGCACTCATTTAAACTTTTTTCAGCCTAATTCAGCAAAAATGTGCTCTGTCCACTTTCTTGTAATTTCAGCTTCTTTCTGCTGTTTTAGCTACTTTTCAGCTGTTTTTGCTTATTTCAGATTTTTTTCAGGTATTTTACACTTTTTTGTGCTCATTTCTGCTTCTTTCAGCAAACGTGTTCCTTCTGCTTTCTTATGCTAATTTAAGCTTGTTCTACCTTTTCAGCTACCGGCACCTTAATTTAGCACTTTTTAGCTATTTTCAGATAAATTCATGTTTTTGTGATAATTTCTGCTACTTTCAGCCGAATTAACTTCTTTCTGCTAATTTAAGCTTGTTAGGCTCATTTCAGCTTTTTTCTGCTAGTTTCAGCTTTTGGTGCTATTTCAGCTACTATTTAGCCGTTTTGTGCTAAATTTAGTTTTATTAGCTAATTCCACATTTTTAGCTCATTTCAGCTCTTTCTACTTCCTTAAGCTTGTTTCTGCCTTTTCAGCTGTACTTTTCAGCCATTTTTTTTCTAATTTTAGCTTTTTTTTAGCTAATTTCCTAAACTCTTTGTTCATTTCTGATTATTTAAACTTAATTCAGTAAATATGTGTTCTTTCTGCTTTCTTCTGCTAACTTAGGTTCCATTTCAGCTACATTTCAGCACGTTTTTACCTAATTTCAGCTGTTTTTCAGCAAGTTCTTCAGCAAAAAGCATTCACACTGAATTTTCGCAGGAAATGCAATTTCTCTAGTTTAATGATTATGTTGTCTCTTTGCAGCTTTTAAATCCAAGCAGTCTTGACATGCAGCGCTCATCAGAGGCGCAAAGAGTTTGAGATTTTGTCTTAGTGACAGTGATGTAAACTTGAAGTGATCTTTTATTCAAGACTGGAAACTGTTCTAAATGTTTTTCCACCTGAATCATCTTTGTAACTGCATGATGATAAACTCCAAATTGTTTTGAAACAGACTTGTAACCCTTTCCTGGATGACAGGCAGAAACACGTTCTTTTATCGTTGCTTGATGTTTTTATGTTAAAACGGCCTGGAACGCCTCAGACCACCAAGCTTCTCCTGTTTGTAAAGAGCTGCATACCTGCTGATGATCTAGAGATGGTATTTCCTGCTTATCTGAGGTTGTGTTCACCAGATCTTCAGATCAGAATCACATAAAGCTTGTATTATAAAACAAGGCTGTACATAAGGCTGAAAATCCAACAAAAGTGTTTCTGCTTCAAATCTGTTTTACTTTAAAATGTTTGAATTTTTAGCTCTTTAGCAAGAACATACAAATTATTTTATTTAGTAAACAGGACAGTATCCCACTTCTTTTGTTTGGTTTATTCCAGGTGACATATGCTAAGAGCTTATCAAAGTAATTAAGAGAATAAGCCACGTTCATTATTGACGTGTACACATAATTTCACTAATAATAGCCTTTTATTGAGAGGAGGTTGTAAACCTAAATTGATTTTTCCACCTCTGTGTACACAAATGTAATAAATCTCTTTTTTCCACCTCCGTGCTCTTAACTGAAATATTTGTCGTACATTTATGCCTGTTTGAAAAGACATGGGCGGTGAATTTAATATGAAGTTGGAACATGTAATGCTCACTGACTGTTAAATCTTCTCTGATTGGTTCTCAAAATTAATTGTAAAAATGCTGAACGGCATTATGCATTATTGTTTTCTTTATGAGATTTTATTTCTTAAATAGATGGCCTTTCATAAAACACAGACTAATGTGGGGTCTACTTGAGTGTTTACTTGCTGTAAAAGAGGCTTTTCTATTCTGACATTAATGAACTTGTTAATTAACTGACTGCTTTCTTATGAACTGTGTAGAAACTGTCAACTTTAAACCTTTTTTTTTTGTTTGTTTAAATAATGTTAAAGCTACAATATATTGTTGTAAGAAACATTGAACAAGACTTTGCTGTACAGTTACAGTAAATGAGACTAAACTGGAGTTCCTATAGACAGGGTTTGACCGGTAAAATTCAAGTGAATGACAAGAATTCCCCTCTGGAACGATGAGCTCCAGGCTCTTGGCAGCGCTTCTCTGTCAAGGATCCTCCAACCTAATTTATACCCTGAGAAAGGCTTGTGTCCATGGGCATAAATTTAGTCGTGGCATGCTTTGAGGAAAAAAAAAAAAAAAAGGAGATAAAAAGGGAAAGCTCATAAACAGGCTGAGAGAAAGACAGAGCGGGAACAATGGGCAGCCATCAGGAGGAGAGCCCCAACAGCTGCAAAACCCCAAATCCCAACATCCACTCACATGCACAAATACGTGTGCATGTACACACACGTATGTGCACGGACTCCCTTTATTTTCCTCTTTCTCTCTCACACGCACTTTTTTTTTCTCCACTCTGACCGCATGGTTTGAAAAGGGGCCAGTCAAGCAGATGTTCTGCTACTGGCCCCACAAAGAACTCAAGTGACTGATGGGAGGAATAAAAAGGGAGGACAAAGGAGGCAAACTTCCTCCAGTTCTCCTGCACTGTCGATTTCTCACAAGACAGTTGAGCTGGGAGTCCGACGTGAAGACTTCATGGATGAGGCTTCAGTGATTGTTCTTTAATTGTGTAGATGGACAGGTGCTTCTGTTAGGTTAATGTTTCAGGAGGACTAAAATAATGAACTAAACATGGTGAATAATAGTTTGTGGTGAGTGACACCCAGACAGAAGGAAATGCCACAGTTTGTTATGAAACATATTATTGTATTCTTCTTATTAATAATGTTCCTGCAGTATCATTTGTGACTCACTGATGAGTCCGAGTCAGACAACTTCCCTAAGATTGTTTTTAAGCTTCCTTGTTGGTCCAAAAACCAAAACCTCAGACTTGTCTCAATTCAAAATTAGGGTAATCCAGGTTTTTATGTCTTTAAGACAAGCTTGTAGTCTAAATAACTGATTGCAGGCATTGAGTTTCATGGACAAATATAACTGTGCATCATCAGCATAGCAATGAAAATTTATCTCAAGTTGTTTATTAACTTTACCTAATGGAAGCATAAGGTAAAGAGTATATGTCCAAGCACTGAACCCTGTGGAACTCCATGACTAACTTTGCTGTATGATGAAGATTTGTTATTTACATTTACACATTGGAATCTATCCGATAATTATGACTTCAACCAATTTAGAGCTATTCCTGTAATTCCAGTATCATATTCAAGTCTCTGTAGTAGAATATTGTGATCAACTGTATCAAATACAGCACTAAGGTCTAACAGGACCAGTCTAGACACAAGTCCTGAGATGATGTCTGTTGTGACTTGGCGCTATATGAATAAACTGAACTGAATTGTTCCCCTTCACTTAAACACAGAATATTGAAAAAGTATTACAGTAAATAAAAACAAGATTCAATAAGAAAAGCAAGAACATGTTGAACATTTCCCATTAAAATACAGAGCGAATGCTTATTGCTGAATGGTTTATTCTGAAAGTTGCTGATGAAGTTCAAACCAGGTCTAAAAGATTTAATCTATGTTAATACGAGTTGAATTTGAACAGCTGATATTTGCTGAAAGCAGGAGAATAAAAGTGGAACGCAGAAGCCAAATGGCAGAAATGTGTAGAAAAGGTTAAAACAGGGAGAGAGGCTTTAAAGATAAAAAAAAATGAATTTAGCAAAAAAGAAACTGAAATGAGCAGAAAACAGCTGAAATTAGAAAAAAAGTAGCTACTTTTTTTTTATATAAATTGAAAGTAGCAGTCAGAGGCTGAAAGGAGCATAAAAGTTGAAATTAGCAAGAAGCACAAAAGACCAAAATCTGCAAAACTATACATACACATATATATATATAT